AAAAGTAAGATAAAACTCTCTTTATACCCTTTTATGTTATAAGGAATGCACCTGTAAAGGGTATTATAGCTTCGGTGCAGTCAAAGTAAACGTTTTTTCGTGTTTTAATTAAGTTTCTGACTCTGGAAATTAAATCAGTTCTACAGATCTACACGAATATTCCATATTTCAATAATACGCATAATTAAATTTTTTACTTAATTTTTCTCAAAAACAATTGACGGAAATGTCTTTATCAGCACCGTGTGCGTGTGTGTTAATTGCTTGTCATTAGCCGGTTGAAACAGTTTACCAGTCGCAAAGAGAATGTTGCTAGACCTATCATTTTCCACTTCGAAGTCAAGTCACAAAATATAGAGATTTCGTGACTAGCACGAATGCCTTATATAAATGGCAGTTGCACGACATAAACTGAGTCAAATATTATATAATAATAAATCAACTAATTAGAAGTTAAGACGGAATATAAGCGTTGGGGTTTGGGTTGAAATACTATCTATTTCAATACATTCATATTATATGTATCTATACCGATTTGTTGCAGATTAAATTTTGGAAAAACGATATGAATACTCCTTGTAGGATGGAAAATCTATTTTTAGCGTTAATTATACTGAATTTCATTCATAACCCAAGACTTTAAAAGAAAAACAAGAAAAAATGTTAACTTCGGCTGCACCCAAGCTATAATACCCTTTACAGGTGCATTTTTTTAGCATAAAAGGGAATAGAAAGATGTTTATCTTGATTTTAATCGGTCAGTTTGAATTCAGTCAGTTAGTTTAAAATACTTATATGGTCTTTGACCGTATTTCCAAACATCGTGGCAAACTTAATATTTCTAGTTCAGGGTATAATAAATATCCTTAACGGCCTCGTATAACTATATTCTTTAGCGTATGTATGTAACTATACGAGTATATTTGTAACGTAGATCTCAGCTATATTTCACTAAATACCCGACAAAAAGTTTTCAAACACCCCATATAATTCAAAATAAAATTTCATTTATGCTTAAGGGCAAATCGGCAGAATGAGGTCAATACTAGTTTTCGTACGTGTTTTGCTACTAACGTCGCGTTTTAGCTGCTATTGTGTGAAGAAGACGTTAACTTCTTGTTTGCGTTTTCAATTTTCCATTTGTGTGTTTCACTTAAGGCTTGTCGTTGCTTGACTCGTCAAGGCCCAAATCTTTGTAATCTTGCTAATATTGTTGTTGTAAGCAAATGTTAGCTTACGTACTTTTTTTTTTTGTTGCCTTATGACTTTCCGCCTCATCCCAAGTTGTGAGCAGCACGCAATGGCACTCTTCAACAACTACTGACTGACGGTTACACCTTTTTTGCAGTGACTGTCGGCAGTGACTATTGTGGTGTCGGTAGCAATAACAGCTGTCTAGAACGTTTTACACATTTTAATGCAATCATAGAAAACATTGAAACACCATTACATGAGATTTTCCTGCCGATTGTCGATTTCTCGAGTGACTCATTTATGTTGGTCACCGCATTCGCTCCACAATACTATTCGCTATTGAGGCCTTAGCAAGCATAGATTTTCATGCCCATTGCTTTTATTTTTATCCGACATTGAAGTCGTGGCAAATATGTATGTAGTTGTGATTGATATAATTTACCATAGTTATTCAGGTTATTCAATTTTAATTAGTAAGAATGTAAAGTAGAAGGATTTTATATTTTTATACTCTAAACGAGGTATATTAGACTGCCACGAATTAGCGAACTGTTCTCTAAGTTTTTGAGATATCTATTAAACAATTTTCACACGAACTTTTATCTTCAAGACGCCGTTTAATTATCGGAACCGTTGCTATTGGACCACTATAGCATACCATATTTCTGTCATATAAACTGCACGATCGAAGTCATGCCCTTGTATAGAAAACTTTCTTATTTTTCAAGTTATCCTCAAAAAATTTGGCATGAATTATTGCCTAAGATAATGCTAAAATCTTCGAAAAAATTGTTCAGCTCTGATCACTATATCATATAGATGTCATACAAACTGACCGGTCAAAATCAAGTTCTTGTATGGAATCTATAGAATTTGTGAAGGGTATTATGGATTGTGCAAGTTAACGTTTTTTCTTGTTTTTAGATATGTTAAGTACCGTAATAATCTTTTTTTGACGGAACCTCGCAAAGGCAATTCCGTAAATGTTTGATTACATTTTATCCGGGTTTTAAATCCTAGTTCATTGGCTAGTACAATGCCTTAGTAGAAAACATACTGCTTGTATGAATCGGTGCCTGCATAAAATCCAATATTCTTAATAAATATCTAACATTTATGATATTAGAACGAGCAAACGCCTTTATATAACAGTTCAAATTTCCATTTGCAAAAAGATCTCTGTAGCTGTAATTACTAAGGTTAGGCTGATCCCTGATCCCCCGCGATTATCACTCTTATACTGTTATGAAAAGTCCTTTGTGAAGCCACATAAAAAACTCCTGTAGTTGGATATCAGCTATCGGCAAAGCGCTCTGAATCTATCACACATCTGCTTAGGTGATTTACCATATTTCTATTTCCGCTATTTCGCCTGGATGTCAAGAAGTATGAGATCTGAGGAATTTTAACCTTGATCTGCCAAAGGCGGGACATTCGAGGAGGATGTGTTGAGATGATGCTATTTCACCTTTTTTTCAAGCAGCTGATGCAACTGGCATCCGGTAAAATTTTCAGTCTTACCGCATGAATCTCGAAGGGACAATGTCCAGTTAAAGCACCTACAACCATTCAAAAGTGGACTTTGCAGATAGCGAATAGTTCACTAGACCCCTTACGATTAACCCTGGGTCAGAAGGATCTTGCGACTGCACAGCTGCTAGTAGGTGACCAACGCTTGCTGAGCTTACTAAGCATACTACGGATAAATTCTCAAATATGTTTCATTCGATCCCTTCGATTGAAGATATTACATCTGTGACCAGGAGAAAGCTTTGTTTACAAACTCACTGCTTCCAGAATCAAATTTTGTTGGCATTGTTTCTTAAGATCCTAATATAAGGATAATTCCAAGTACCATAAAAGTCCTCCTCCAATTTTAAAGGTTTACTTAAGGTCACTTTTGAGAAAAACTCTGTCACTGTGTGTAGGGCACTGCTCTTTTCATTGACAGAAACATATTTCATGTGAAGAAACAACACTCTAAATCAATATTCCCCTTGAATTGATCACTATTATCAACTTAATATATAAAAATGGTTTAATTACTTAATAAGGGGTAGAAAGAATCTGTCCGATTTTTGCTCAAATTATATCATATGAGGTATTTAAAGTTGCATACAAATATTTAGTTGCTCTTTTGACACGGTGCCAACCGATATCGTAAAATGGAAGTGGAAATAGTTCACTGAACTCGTATGAATGCAACAGCGAAAGGAAAGGCGGTCATAGAGGAGTTATAGAGTTAAAAATTCATTTGAAACATAACGCGGCGAAACTCGTACAAACGCAATTAACGGACTTTTATGTGCAAAAGCGGCGGACGCCTTGCCAAAAGGTCCAATAAGGGTGGATTAGGTCTGGCCCCAAACGTGCAACAGTTACCGGCACTCATAATAACATGTATGAATAAAAGCTTTAACTACTGTAAAATGTGAAAAATTATTAAAAAAATGACGTTGCTCGGTATGTATTTCTATATGAATCTACACTAACTTACTTTTGGAAATACTAAAATTTTTTTTTTATTCTTGGAAACGCTTATTCAGCTAAATTTAAAGGTTTTAAAGCCTCTCGTTCTTATTCAGCTATTAATATTTTGCAAACACGGTGCCCTCGCCCTTATTGCTATACATATATATATTTCGAATATAATATCAGTGTATTATACTAAGTATTGGTAATAAACGGACGTTTTGACAAAGATTTTTGCTGACCCTGGAATATACCATATATATTCCCAATATGCACTAACTGGACCATAAATAATATTTTTCGTAATAGCTTGACCATCACAAGTCACCGTTGGTTGAACAAGTCTATAACACTATTCCGCGTACAATGCTACCATGGGTATAAAACCGACAAATGAAGCACAAATCGAAATGCAACCCTTCTATATGCCACATGTACATTCTGGTAGTTGAGGGTAAACGGGAGAAGAGGTCAAGCAACGCTTAGTGCGGGTGGCAAGTAATTGAAGAAGAGAAATGCACTGATTAGTAGCATACGTATTCTAGTGTAGAGGGCAATGCAAGGCAGGAGGATGGGAAGGAAACGAGACACAAAGCAAAAGCACAAATAAAATCGGAACACATATTATTGTTGTTTGAGAAGTAGTGTGCTTTAAAATATAAGCCACTGAAAGTTAGTATATAAAAATCCAGGCAGTGACATGTTGAAACTTCAAATATATTTGTAAAATATACATATCTTAGTTGAACCACATGGATGCTTCGTTCCGTTGCTATGTTTTGTCAATTAGAAATACATATTTTTTTCTTAAGCGAAATTTCGAATAAATGTGGTTAGGTTAGGTTAAAAGGTCGATTCTAACAGGGATTTCACTTGGACAGCTTAGAATGCCAGTTCGTTGTGCTACGTAAAACTCTTTTATAATATATTATAAGATCTTTACAAATCGACAAAGTGCTTTAGGCCTATCACAAATTTGTTGAGACGGTTAATGTCAGTTTCCGCTATATCTTCTGGTTCGCTGAAGGTAAGACTGCCAAGACGTTTCAACCTCAGCCTTGCAAAGGCTGGACAATTGAGGAGAAAGTGCCTAGCTGTTTCCACCTCACCCTCCGCCATACAACTTTGACAATTAGCGTTCGCCAAGATTGTCCATTGAACAGTGTCCAGTAAGAACCTCTACGATTGCGGCTAGATGAACTTTGCTAAGGGCAAGTAGCTTAGTAGATCTCCTATGTGGTACTTACAATATGTATATAACTTTGGCTAACACCAACGACTTTGATTTGTTTAAGAGCACTAAATTAAGATCTACAGAGACAGCCGTAACTTACCTGCAGTGCTCCCCAATGCCAAGGCCAAGAGTAACGACAGGAAATATGCTGAAGTGGACATGCTTTCTATTTATTTAGTAGACTTATGTCGTTGTGAATTTAAAAAAATATATTGTTTTTTAATTATACAAGTAGTTTTATTTGAAAATAAAAAAAGTACTTTGTTATTTCTTACACATATTGGTGCTAAGTAGAAAAAATATATTTTTATGCCCACACACGAGGGTTAACACTCGCTTTTTGAAAATTTTAAAATATTACAAATTGCACATTGAACTTTTTCGATATTATTCATATATTTTTAATATTGCTCACTTGTCTCGTTTTATTCTCAGCACTGCATGAATATTTTCAAAATTTTTCCAAAAATATACACAAATATTATTTGAGAGAGAAAAAATTTCTATATTTTCCACGAAAATTTAATACTTTATTAGTTTTGCTCGAGAATTTTCGAAAACGCGCGCTTCTCGCAGGTGGCCACTAAACACTACCGGACGATGACAATGTTGCTGACTGACTGTTGCTCGAATAATGGCTCGATGCGTTGTTGACTTCCACAAGTCGTCGTAGTACTGCGGACGTCGTTGGCTAAAGCGACTGAATACGCGCCACAAAGCTCGTCAAATACGAATGAATGTGTGTGTTCGCCGTTGTTCGTTGCAATCGAACTGAAATCTTTTGCTGTGTATGTGCTGAGAACTTTTCACATATGAAAAGCTATAGCGACATCCGAATGGGAAATGGTTGCCGGCACAAATACAAACACAAGCACCTAAACACTAGATAACCGCAACGGCAAGTGGCAACTGTAAGCGTAGTAGCTCCAGTGGCACGTTTGTTGCCTTGTTAAGGGTTGTGACTAGATCGCTTGTTGTTGCTGGCTGTTGTTCTAGAAATTAAAGTCAAAAAGGAGATAAGCAGCACGCATGGGTCAAGCTCAATGCATTCCTCCGCGTCAAACTCGACAAAATTTAATCTTTTTTTGGTACGTGCTGTCATTGCTCTGAAAGTTGCTCATTTCAGGGAAAGGGAAATCATGGCAAAATTTTCATCAACAAATAATATTTTGCGTGCGTGACGATGCGTGCGAAACTGCTTTAAAATAATTAATTTCTCACAGCTCCGCAAAAAATACTCCACACATTTATGTTAGAGTGATGACTGCATTGCCATTGGAAGTTGTTTAAATCCTCTCCGCTCCGGACCCTTTTGGTTTGGGCGTTAATCTCGAGATATATTGTCATGTGATTGAGGTGTAAGCACTTCCAGCTTAAAATAAGCTTTTTGTCATATGTTTTTGTATAAAAGAGGGTTCAAAAGTTCATAAGAAATTTATTTGAATTAAATTTTAATCACATCTTACTAGATCAAATGAGCTATAATCACACGATATAATATCAATGATGCGGCCTTTCACCTGATGGTTTAATGTATTAAATGCTAATTAGAATAAAACTTTTATTATAGCTGGATGAAAATTATTATTTAAAGGCAGGCAACCTAGTATCTTTTTAAAGAAAAACAATTTTTGTGTGTCAAAATTCGATATTTTTATTCAACATAGTTACCACCAACGGGTGATATATAGGTAACAATCATCCAACTGCTTGATGCCATTTTTATGTTCTCGCAACATGTTGCTAGAGAAATATAATAGCTTTGTTCCCGAAACAGTAGTTTGTATCACCTAAAACTAATCGCGACCGTTTATCCGTCGGACCGTGCAACTGATATCATGGTGAGACTGGTACCTAGGGCAGTCGGTATTGCATATGAACTATGTTTAGTAACCTGCCCTGAAGCTAACTCTATCAAATTTTCTGGGAAGATGTCTTTCTGCACCTCTTGATGTGCTATACAAAGGCGTAAAATCAGGTAATAACCACGACTGTTATGTTGAAAACTACAAAAAGTGCGATAAATCACTGAATAAATGAGCCACAAACAATAAATATCACAACCAGGATAGTAGGGATGGGCTTTATAGGAGCAAGTGTGAAAAGTGTGCAATGGGCGTGGCACCGTCCACCTTTAGGTGAAATCCTATATCTCAGGAACTTACCGACCAATTTTAAGTAAATTTGGTATGTAAGATTATCCAACCATTCCTATCAATGAAAATGGGCGAAATCGGACAACAACCACGCCTACTCCCATAACATAACCTTAAATCCATCTGATTCTTCCCCTTCCAGTACAAAAATCAAACACCAATGAATATCTTGGGATAAAACTTGCACAAGTAGTGTCCTTAAGATATTGAATTTTATGCCTCAAAATTGTCAAAATCGGGCTATAACTTTTCAAGGACCCAGACACCAAATATCCGGATCCCAGTGCGTTTGGCTGATTTTTTACCGAATATATCGGTCAATCTGTGAGTTCTAGTATTGAAAATCGGGGAGAATATTTTTATGATGACAGTAAACTCTTATGCTAAATATTTTCTAACTTCGGGTTGACTTTTAACGTTCCATATGTAAGAAATCTTAATGAAATTCAGAAAGACTCTCTTTCTAATAATAGTGTATCTTCTGGAACGTGATTGTAAATAATAGATGCGATACTTCCTACTTTTAAAATAAAAATATATACGAACTTTTTCAGGTCACAGAAGAGAAAATGTAACTTTCTGCCTTTACGCACATTTAATTCCGTTCATTAGTTCGCTCGGATGACCGTTAATTGGATTTTTGAGTAAAACAATAGAACCATCTTTGTTTTTGCAACGTATCAACAATTGGCCAACAGCAGCGTAATTTATTCACATCTCTTTTGAAAGTTAAGTCGAGTGGCTAACTTTCTGCCTAGTATGGCCTAAAACTCTCTTCCTCCACATCTTAAATAGTCAAAATAATCTTAAACTGTTTAAGAAGATTATAATATTTTTTCATTCGTTCCGTATGTTTTCACTATCAAATAAATCTATATTTATTTCATATCTATAGTATTGAAAAAAGAAATCAATCAAAAGACTCTTTATAATACTGTTTTATAATTAATTTTTCTTATTGTTTTTGAATAACGCTCTATTTTTAAATATCTCTACACCTCTTTGCCTCTATTCAAAATTATATACAATACCTTTTGGAACTTAATGGTCTTTTGGTCGCTGATGGCGGGGAAACTTATGCGAATAGACATACATATAATTTTCACTACTACAAGTGTAACTATTTAAGACAGCTGCATCGTCATTGTCATTGTCAGCAGACATTTTCCGACATCATTGTCTGTAGATATTCAGAGACGTAACGACTTGCACAAGCATGCATGTAATATATTCATATCTATATATTTTCATATACATATATATGTGTATGCATCTACGCGTTCCAACGAAATCTCTTGAAGACCAATTTATTTTCGTAATTTTTTCAAAAGACCTAGTTCTGAAGCAATGAAACTTATGCTGCAAAAGTCTTAATTTCATGTATTTTGTATCAACAAGCGTTATAGAGTAGCGAATCGAACAAACTTTAGAAGAAGTTCAAGGAAACGATGCAAACCTGCACTAATATATTTTCTGGCACATGTGCAATTGTATACCGCTCCTTTCTTTGATGGAGAAATTCTTCTTTCCTCTTCAAAAAGCATTTTAGTAACTCCTTACTTTGGCTTTCTATAAGCAATTATGAATTCTCTTAAGTTTAAAGTTATTAAATTAAAAACAAAAAAAAATCTTATAACATAAATATGTATAAAAAGATCTTTAGCTTGGTTTTGATCAGTCAGTTTGTATAACAGCTGTATGCTATAGTGGTCCGACAATAATTTATCATTTGAGCCTTTCATTTGGTAAAACTGCTCTAAAATGTGTAAATCAAAACTTGCTAGCATTGAAGCAGGTATCCGCATACTCTCTTGTACAAATTCTACTCGGCAATTTTTTAAAAAGAGAGCAGCACGGAAAGATAGCGAGCAGAGAAATGGTGAAGCTAATATATTAGGTAAGTTTATTTCGTTCATCTATTCGATCTCAAGCGAGCGTTGTGAACTGAAGAGTATCTTTGACATATTGGAGACCGTTAACTTTCACTTCCTGCCTTTTGCATAAGTGTACTATTTTACGATATAGGGTGGCAAATTAGTATTACATTGGTTGGAAGTAGTTCAGCATTGTGATTATTATATAGTATCTCGACTTACTTATCCAACCATAAATGCTGTTACAAGTTCAGGCCGTTGCAAACATTAAACTATAATACAAAAAAAAAACCTTTTTTGTAAATTCTGACTACCCCTAACTGCTTATTATATATCAGTAGACACTGCATATATATTTTTAAAAAAATAGTAACCGCACTCTTTTCTGCGAATTTACCACCGCTATATGCGTTGTAAACTTTGTAACAGAACTTATGGCATCTTAATTTATTTACAATATATGTATGTATGTATATAGTATACAATTATACCAATATCATACTAATCTTAAAAAAAATTTACATGCACCGAAATGTCAATCTCTATTCCAATTTGATCCCAATTTGACCAATTTCGTTAATACCGTAGCTGTTGTACAAGGTTATTATTATAACTATTAAAGATAGCAGGGGACAAAATATTTTGCGAATTTCGACCTGTTACAATAGTAATTTGTACATAGAGCAGAATCTGGATACATTTACAAGCGCCAATTCGTGTTTGTGTGATCACATATTTGCACAAGTTTCACAATGAAGCGAATACAGCATCGAAACGGAACAACGTGTCTAAAATAAATGAAAGTGGTAGCAAATTTTCATGAATTGGACTTCGATTGCTTTCGTATCTAACGAGTTGGCTGACCGACTACCAACAATTTTATCGTATCCCCAGACTCTGGTGAAGGGAATAGTCGTTGAAATCTCCGCGATTTAAGAGAAAAACTCAATCGTACCACAAAAAAGGTATTGAAAAGATGGAAGACTGTCTTGAGTAATAAAAATTTTTTTTTTAATTACACATTGCTGGATTTCTCTTGCCATTTCTCTGGTTTTTTGGATCAGGTTGTCAATGATGGTCTAAAAAAGCTTAAGGAAACTGGCTGCCGAATGATTGCCTATGCCGACATGAGCCTTTATGGTGGAGGAAATCTTTCTAAATACCATGTAGGCGCTAACTCAAGGATCACTCTACACCGTAACCAACTGGGAGGCTGAAAATAATCTAGTCATTAATCCTAGTAAGACAAAACTGGTTTTGCTCCATAAGAAATACAAAATTTCGGAAGCCTCTCCCATCGATAGAAGGAACCTGCCTGTGGACAGAGCAACGTGTCTAGGGCTCCTTCTGCACAAGAAGCTCCCATGGAAACTCAATATCGAGAAAAATATAGCTAAAGAATTATATTTTCTTCCTTAATTAACACTTTTATTATACCCTGAACAGGGTATATTAATTTTGCCACGAAGTTTGTAACACCCAGAAGGAAACGTCGGAGACCATATAAAGTATATATATAAATGATCACCGTGACGAGCTGAGTTGATTTAGCCATGTCCGTCTGTCTGTCCGTCCGTCCGTCTGTCCGTCTGTATATACGCGAACTAGTCCCTCAGTTTTTGAGATATCGATCTGAAATTTTGAACACTTCTTTTTCTCCCCAAGAAGCTGCTCATTTGTCGGAACGGCCGATATCGGACCACTATAGCATATAGCTGCCATACAAACTGAACAATCCGATTGTTGACGAGGTATCTTCATGAAATTTGGCATGTATTATTATTTAAAGCATTAATCTAATCTCCGAAGAAATTGTATGGATCGGATGACTATAGCATATAGCTGCCATATTAACTGAACGATCGGAGTAAAGTGGTTGCATGGACCATTTTTTATTGGACGAGGTATCTTCACGAAATTAGGCACGAGTTATTGCTTAAGGCAACAAATTATTCTCCACAGAAATTGGTCAGATCAGATCACTATATCATATAGCTGCCATACAAATTGAACGTTCGGAATCAAGTTCTTGTAAGGAGCCTTTGCCTTTGTGAAGGGTATTATAGCTTCGGCGCAACCGGAGTTAACGTTTTTTCTTGTTTTTGATTCATCTTTGGACACCAATTTCAGAAGTCTTTTAAAACTTCATCACATTTTTTGCGTTCACTAAAGCGTTTTATATTAAAGCCTTCTGCTTCATATTAGCCTTTCTTTAACTTAAAATTAGGTAAGTGCGGTTATGCCAGAAAGCTATTACTTAGCATGACTATTAATCAAATCACTTTCATTTTGGTCAACGCAAAATCAAATTTTCGTGCACTTTTCGCGTTATTATTAGATTTCCTGAAGGGTGTGAGTAAGTGGGACACGCTAAATTGCACCTTCCGTGCACCTTAATTACCATCAACTTTGACATGCGAAGTGGTGAATTTGTCAAATGGTAATACAGGAACGTGTCATCCATCTTCGAGGAGCAAATAAAAATAGGCTGCACACTTTAAATATAGACACATCTACAAATGTAGTTTGTTTCAAGCCACATACAGGGTTGCTATGACATGCTATGCCTGTAATAATTTTTTAATATATATTTTAAGTTCATAATATAACACAAGCTATATCATAGTTTTAAAAAAGTTAGGATCCATAACGTCAATACTGTACCCCAACATGTAAAACAAAAAAAAAATGGTTCACTATAGCATACATTTGCAATACAAACTGAACGATCAAAATAATTTTTTTTCGACAAGATATTTTCACGAAATTTGGCACGAATTATTGTTAAAGTAACGGTATATTCTCCTAAGAAATTGTTCAAATCGGATCACTATAGCATACAGCTGCCATACAAACTGAACGATCAAAATCAAGTTCTTGTATCTAATCTTTAATCTTTTGTATTTGTGAAGCTATTAAAGCTTCGGTGTAACTGAAGTTAACGGTTTTCTTATTCTTATTTAAAATAAATAGTTGAATACACTCGTTATTTATCGTTAGGCAATAGGTAAATACTTATAGCCTTGCAAACGCTTTGTTTCAATATGCATTGCCGCCTGTGAAACTCCCTGTATCTCTCTTTGTATTTGTCTGCATACTATTGATTTTGTCAATAATCAAGCAAATGAAATAGCAACAATTTAAGTTCATTGGCCGAACAAACCATATAAGAAAGAAAACTCTGGTTAGATATATTAAAAGCTTGATAAAATTCAAATAAATCGTTTACAATAGAATACATCAAATTAGCCATGAATTTAATGACCAGTCCAACCCTCATGTCTTCAATATTACTACCGGCCTAAGAAATGGAAAAACACTATACCTTTAATGGTTTTTAGGTCATACATGGAAAGCAAATTAGGAAGCGAAAGCATGTCTGTCCAGACTTGTGTAGTCATTTCCGTAACCATTATTCTAATGCACCTGGAATATTCTAATCATATATAATGTATATTCTTATATGCATGTACAGTATACTTGTATATGCTCTGAGAGATATGTACATATACTTGGACACACTGTTCGAAGACAACGCCCCATATGAATGGATTTCCAAACACAACCGTATATACATATTTATGCCTTCGCTTCTTACAAAAGCTTTTATGGTGAAATTAAAGCTAACTAGAAATATCAACAAAAAATACTTAGTAAGTGACTAAATATAATTTTCCTTTTGTGGACAAATAAACTGAGATTTGTTAATACTCTCACTCATTTTCCAATCGTTATAGGAATTACAAATGAGACCTAAAATCCATGGGCTTATTTTCATATGAATGGTGTTATGTTTATTTTCTTCCTTAGTATGCATATCAATGTTATAGACAAAAGCAGCACAAGTTATCGTTTACACAAACTGACTGAACTCCACTCGTCTCGTCATGCTGATCATTTTCATATGTAGGTACAATATATCACATAGAGAGTATAAAATTGGTGAACAGAGGTGAGAGTTGTATTTCACAAAACCTTTCATGACAAAATATAAAAGCAGCAATTAGTATTTAGACGAAAATAATAATTTATTTTGAGCTATCATAAGTACTACACCAGCAGTGCTAGTGAAAATGGTTTCCTGCATGCACTTTGCCTCAGAGGTTCGGTATTAAAACCACACCACTGTGCATAACAACACAGATAAACGAATAACCATTGGGTTACCATAACAACAGAATTAACGAAGATATCATAACTGGTGGTGATTTTGAATTAAGAAAAATTGCATTAACCTACAGACATACATATATGTTCGGTATTTCATATAAGGAAATGATTGCCTGCAACTGAAATCGGTCTTACACGTCAAATACGCCGTTATCATATCTATTTAGTACTTGTTTTCGAAAAAGTTTACCTATTTTCCAAATTACTTATATGACACTAATCAGAATGGGACAATGCCTATTCTAAGATCGAATCTCCAAAAGGTTGATCTGAACAATTTGAACACAACTTAAAAGATTACATTGTTGACTTAGACAATACTCCGTGCCTTAATTTGTGAAGATGCCTCGTCAAATGAAAGAGTTTTACATACAAGTTCTTGATTTCGATCGTTCAATTTGTATGGCAATGGTCCGATATCGGCTGAGCAGCTTCTAGTTCGCGTATATACAGACGGACGAACGGACATGGCTAAATCAGCTCAGCTCATCATGCTGATTATTTATGTATATATTTTATTAGATAGGGTAGTATTGACCTTATTTTAACAATTTTTGTCATCAAGAGATACTATTATGAGGGAAAGATGTTCTCTGAATTTCTTTAAGATATCGCTCATACCGACCGACATATATGTATGTTTATCAAAGTCTGAAAGTCCTTTTATTTGGTATATGGGGAAATGTGGAAGTATTGACCCATTTTTAACTATGTTCGGCATTAAGATTTACTATTACCGGAAAAAGACTCTCTCACAGTTTCTCTCTTGGTTGATTCAGTTATGGTGCTTTGTGAGATATCTGTACTAACTAAAATCTCTATTTGGTTTCAGTTGAGCCTCTTCGTGACGTACTAATATTTATTCTCCAATAAAGTAGAACTGGTTTTAAAAAATTGCTTCAAAATTTGATCTGTGGTGGCTCCGTCTCTATATGTTCTTATTCTAATGCGCATGCTTCCTTAAGTTTACAATTCAAAAATATTTACCATGAACATATACCATATACACACTATACTTACAGGTATGAAATGATCGTTTTTTTGTGAAAATTAAATACTAATTTTAAATGGAAAGTACACACAAATTTATTAAAAGTATTGACCATTGCTTTTTACACCAGGTCTTAGAAATTCATGATATACCACACCCTTCTGATCCCACCAAACACAGAGCATTGCCTTCCTACCGAATTGGTCTGTTTTTGCAATCGATGTTGATAGTTTGCCGGATTAACCCATGATTTCCTCCGTTTAAGATTCATAAAAAAAATCCAATTTTCATGGCCAGTGACAATTCGACTCAAAACCGATTTTCTTTCGTGTCTTTGAAGCAAAATTTCACAAGTGCTTTTTCAGTTTTTCATTTGTATTTCATTCCATTCATGTGGGCTCCATTTTCCACACTTTTGGATCTTTCCCATAGCTTTCAAACGGTCTGAAATTGTTGGTTGTGCAACATTTAACATGGCTGTCATTTACGTTTGACTCAAAGTATCATCTTCATCCAATATTGCTTGCAGTTCGGCGTCTTCAAACTTTTTTGGTGGTGTTCCACGCTCTTCATTTTTCACATCAAAATAATTACCTCGAAATTCTTCAAATGAAAAGAAAAAATTAATGCTTTCCGCAAATCATCACTTTCCGGTACAAAATTTGACATTTTGAACACAATGAAAAAATATGAGGTTGATTGTTCAATGACTGTAAGGTTATTGAGTATGTTTGATAGATGTCATGCAACCAAACAGAAAATAAATTAAGGCTTGTTCACAACAATTGTTCTCCACCAGCACATTTGTATCTTAATGCAACAGGTGGAAGGTAGCCGTGCCAATAAGGGTTGCTTCCCTTAAAATTGTAATAGAATCCCTATGGCAACCTCACTGTCCAAACAAATACTCTGCTTGAAGAAAAATTAGTGTGTGAAAAGTTTCTATGAAGTTCATTATACATTTTTTAAGATGCGCTTAAAAACTGATATCTGCAAGCGAACCTCGGTTAGTAATACAAGTAATGTGGATTTCCGACTACGGAATTCGGCAACGCAAAGAATCACGAGTGGACAAAAAGAGAAGGAAAATAACGAAAAGGCGAATATTATACCGTTAAGCAGTGTAGACTGGAGTAGCAATGAAGAAATCTACTTTGTCAGGTAAGAAGCTTTTCAGCGCATTTGGTGCTAATTGAATATAAAATATTTCCTGAATAAATATAGTCGATTCAATCGTAATTTAAACAAAGCTTATGTTGTAATATTTCATCTTCTTGTTCTTCTAAAACAGTGATGATCACCAGATCTACAAATGGAGCGCAGTCACGCGTGATTCAGTGGAGGTCGCCAAGCTGCCGGATGACTTTATACCCACTGATTTGCATTGGTTGCTCTTAGGCGGGCGCAACAGCGGTGGTGGCAAGGGCAGCGATACTCTACTCATCTGCAGCAATGATGGCCGCTTCATCATACTGAACAAAAGCGCGCGGGTCGAACGGAATATTTCAGCGCATAGCGCAGCGATAAGTACTGGACGTTGGAGTCCGGATGGGGCAGGGCTACTCACAGGTACGCTCTTTATCTTGAAACGCATACACAACTTGAGTCACACAGCAGTTCTTTTTGATTTTTTCTCCTTAATACAAATATATAGCTGGCGAGGATGGCGTTATCAAGATATGGTCGCGCTCCGGCATGCTGCGCTCCACTGTAATACAGAGTGATGAAGCTATTAGCTGCGCACGTTGGGCGCCCAATTCTACTTCAATCGTTTTCAGTCAGGGCTGCTATATGTCTATCAAACCACTCGCAGCTAATAGCAAGTTAACAAGGGTAGGTGCGGCTAGTATTGAATATAGTAAAATCTTGAGATAAGTAAGCGCAGAAATATTCATAGTTTACTTCTTACAGTGGCGTGCTCATGATGGTCTCGTTCTATCACTAAGCTGGTCCACGCATTCGAATATAATCGCTTCAGGTGGCGAAGACTTTCGTTTCAAGATTTGGGACGCACAAGGTGCCAATTTATTCACAAGCTCCACTGAGGAATATGCTATTACTTCAGTTTGCTTCAATTCTGAAAAGGATGTGCTTTTAGTGGGATCCTTCAACATGCTAAAACTGTGCTCCAGCGCTGGGGTAAGTAGTATATCAACGCAACAAAAATCGGTAATTTAAAACAAAGTCATAAATTAGAAAGAACGCACCAAGCTCACTTTCATTTAACTTCTTCTGTATCTCTTCTACTCATCAGTGGTCTTACAGTAGCAGTCGTTTCAGCGAACCCGCTGTCGGTTCCTTCTATGCAATGGCTTGGTCATCGGATGGAACACAAGTGGCTTGTGGCACTTCGACGGGCAACCTCGTGGTTGGTTATATTGTTGAACGCCAATTGATCTCACGCAATCTGAAGGCGACAACGACGGGTCGCAAAACCATTGTCCTACAGGATATCTCAAATAGTAGCAACGATGTTTTAGACTTTCCCGAACGAGTCATTAATTTTGGGTTAGGTTATGGTCACTTAATTGTAGCCACATCGAATCAATTGCATATTTATAATGAGAAATATATCAATACGCCGATAATTATTGATGGCAGGACAGATGTACGTGTGATTGAAGTGGGCAAGAAGTGAGTATGCTTGCTTCTTCATAAAATATTTGTAGACCAATACTTTGCTATGGCTCTCTGGCTTAAATTTGTTTTTGTTGATTCAACTACTTTGGAAAATCAAGAACTCGATTATTCATATCAAACTTTCTTTGGTTTTAGATTCTTCATGGTCTTGGATGCCATATCGATTTGGGTGTACACTTATACGGGTCGCTTACACTTGAATCCCCGCTACCCAGGTTTGCAAGCACAAGTACCACTGCTTACATGGCGCGCGATATCTCTCGGATTGGATGTCTTGGCTATACGAGATAACTCTGATAACACTGGTGAGCATTAGATAAATATTTAACACATTTTTCTGATACTAAGCTTTCGCTTTCGCATGAAGTAATTCACATCTTCGACCTTGTGCCAGGCGCTTCACGGCAATATGAACCACATTCAATACGCGCAAAAACTCAAATTTCCGAGATCTCCGCATGTCGCGCCGGTACACTTGATGACCAATATGTCGTGCTTATCGATAACAATCGAGAATTGTACATCACAGAGACACGTAATTTGAATAGCAGTGTCGGAGCTGGTGGCGGTGGAGTTGGAGGTGGAAATGGCTTAAGCGCTGTAGCTGGTGTGAGTGGCAACTCCGAACGCGGAATAAGTGGACGCACAAATAACAGCGGCGAAATTTACAAAATCGGCACACAAGTGACTACCGTTATGTGGGGCAGTGAGACAAATATTTTGGTAGGCGTACACGATACCTGCTATAGCATTTGGTATTGCCCGGGCGAGGGCGCAGCCGATCCAACGCTGATCGCGTTAACAACGGTCACTATAGATGCCACGTGAGTGAGTTTAGTTTAGGGAGGGGAAAAGAAGTAATATTTTAAATTTTAGTGAATTTGGTAAAAACATAACATTGGAGTCTTTTGAGGACGCTATCGTAACTTTCCGTTGCGCCGGCGCGCTGCTGCCCATTAATGTGAATATCTATTGTGAAATTTTGCATCGCACTTTGATGGAGGGGCAGTGGCAACAGGCATTAAAAATTTGCCGCCTAGTACAAAATGGTAACCTCTGGGCCACACTGGCGGCAGTCGCAACGCGCAAGAATCAACTACAAATCAGCGAGGAGGCATATTCGGCCGCACTACAGATTGACAAAGTCAGCTATCTGCAATACATAAAGGTACAGTTAAATTTTAATGACTATTGCTACTCAAAATTACCAACACTGGTTTTTAGGAATTACCGTCTGCAAGTCCGGAACAAATGGCGGAGAACTCGCTAATGCTCGGACGTCTGATCGAAGCGGAGACTATTTTATTGCATAACAAGAAGTTCTCTGAGGCTGTTGCACTCTGCTTACGTATGCACAATTGGCATCGGGCTCTGGAGGTGGCGCAGAAGCATGAACCCGTATTATTAGATAAGGTGCTCGAGCAGAGGCGCAGGTATTTAAAAGCTTTGCAACGTGATGAATGGGACGCGGTATTTTTACCGTTCCAACTGAAAGAGAATGATGCAAGTGAATAAAGTTTTACTATTAATAAAGGGATTTATGTTGAATTTTGAGGGTATTGGAGCAATCCAATAGTTGTAAGACTCTTCTTAAGGCGAATGCACTAGTGCATGCCAAATTTCGCAGCTACTTTGTTTTCTCTCTCAATTTAGTCTTGGTTTAGTCTGGTAGTGGTAGTCTGGCCGACAATGCATGGGTTTTCCAATGTTGATCACGTTTTGGTTAAAGCCTTGATTACTGCTTGGTTGTCCACGTAGATGTAGACTCTGTGGTTGCATGCTGATACATTCGAGTTCTGTCCCAATAACTCCTTCTGAAATCTCGGTTGGGAGAGCAGGAGAGCAGCGTAAATCTCAACTTCACCACTACTACTACTTCCTACCTTCTGGTTAAGATCAAATATATAAAGAAAAGAAAGAATTTGGTTTATTCTATTTCCATACCAACAATATGTCCAACTACGAGTATGTGATACAGATTTAGCTTTATTAAAATCTCAAGTTTAATTTAATAATTTTAAAAATTGCTTGGATATTTAATATGCGGGTGCCGCCATGGGTTCATCAGCAAGTCCGTGCAAAATGTTATGGGCCGCAAGCATTGACATGTCGTCCCGTGTACGCTTGATAGCCGAACCTAAATGAGGCATAAGCACTGAAAGAAGAAAAGCGATGAACATGTTTAATTGATTGACGTTAAGAGCGTAGAACAAAAAGGTATTCCTGAACTATGTTAATAATCAAATATATTTGAAACTGTTTGATAAGAAGTCTACAGAACTTACCAACATTTGGCAAACTCAACAAAGGATCATTCGATGGGAGTGGTTCAGGTGTCATCACATCCAGGCCGGCAGCGAATATCTGATTTGTTTTCAAGGCCTCATACAAATCTTGCTGATTTACAAGGCCTAAAAATATTTCATTTAATGGCACACGAACGTTTGAACACTACATCATACCATCTTACCCCCACGTGCAATATTCACCAGCACGGCGGTTTTCTTCATTTTACCAAAAGCAGTGGCATTAAAAACACCAGCGGTCTCTTTAGTCAAGGGTGCAGCAATGATAACGAAATCACTCTGAGCAAGCATGGTATCGAAATCTACTTTTTTGGCATTGTACTCCTTTTCGATTTCCTCAGACACGCGTCGACGTGTGGTATACAGAACACTATCAATGTCGAAACCGGACAAACGTTTGGCGATCGCCTGGGCGATACCACCAAAACCATAGAAACCCACTACCGAATCGCGCACATCCTGACCCAACATCCAGTTTAGAGTGAATGTCTCCCAATTGTTGCTGTAATAAATTTGTAGAATAAGCATACAAATAAGTTAGGTAAACATGTTTATAACCACACTAACGTCTCGATCTTCGTACGTCCTTCGTGGAAACGACGTGCTGCTGCCAGCAACAAGCCAACCGCCATATTTGCCACTGTATCGTTTTGAACATAAGGTACATGACCCAGCGGTATCTTGCGTCGCTTAAACTCTTCTACTTCTACAAAATCAATGCCCGCAGATTTAGTGGAGATCGCTTTCAGTTGTGGACCTATGGCATCAATTATTTCTCTATCGAGCTTAAGACTCGACGCCCATAATACGGCATGCACACCCTTGCATTTCTCCAAAATTTCCGAACGTATTGGTGGCACACTTTGGCAAACGATTACTTCGTAGTCTCGGGACAATAAGTCAATAGTAGCTTGTGGAATATTTGGAGTTGTAACTAAAATTTTCAGTTTTTCTTTTTGACCTGGCATTTCAAACTCGTACTATTTGCAGTCGATAGCAGATGATATGTTTGTGATTCGGATACTTTTCGGTGATGAGCTACTAAAGGAAAAAGGTAATGTTAAAAAATACAAGTACAGTGCTTTCAAAAAATAACGTTTTTGTTTTCCAAAGTGTAGGAAGCGTTTTTTTATAGCAGACTTTTATTCAATACTTCTTTCAATCTCCCGCATTTTCTATTAAAGCCTGACGTCTTTGATGGCCACTTGCAATTAAATTTTCTGAATATTCCACAGAAAGCGACTTTCAGGTATATTGGTATGTTGGAGTAGCCGAATGAAATCTTTTGTTGATGGTAAATGTTTTCTTGATATTTTGGCTTTCATTTAAGTACAAATATTCTCTAGTATATAGGCGTCTGGTGACCGTGACGACCAATTTAAGTAACAAAATGGTCTACAGGGTCTGTATCCAATCATGGTCTGATTACAGTACTGTTTTTTATACCAGATCTTTGAAGTCCTGAAGCAATCCCTGATTTGCTCAACAAGCAGGCAAGCGTGGCATAAATGGAATATGAGCCGCACATGCCGAACGTTAAAATTCAAACGGAATGATATAAGAACTTTAGTAGGAGTACTAACAGGCCACTGTCTAATAGACAGACATGCAAGTAGACTTGAAACGCCATATAACGACTATTGTGAAAGCTGTCAGAAGGTAGAAGAAGAGGATACCATCAAACATCTTCTATGCGATTGTACGGCTCTATAGGAAAAGAATCGCAGCCATCGTCGAGGGTTTCTTGACGACGTTTTGGAGGTTGCACGGATAAAACTTGTCTTACTGATGAAGTTCATCAGAAGGTTTAGAGAGTAGCCAGTAGAGTGAAGGGACTTCTGGTATCCCAATTAAAGCCTAGGTGTGTCGAAAGGCAGCCACTCTACCTACCTAGCTATCTAGACTAAGCAGTGATTTCTTCGCAAAAAGGAGCTTTGCCATCACTTTTAGCTATCACGTGATTTCTCTCTCTCTTCCTGGCTTGTGATGTACGTTTTCAGCTTCTCCATAATGGACCTCTTCACAAATGTACATCTCGTATTTAAATAATTTGCAGTTTCTTAATAGTCCATTTGAGATCTTTAGGATGCTTCGTTAGAAAGGCTGTTTAAAAATGTTTCATACACTTAGCACTTCATTTTCTTATTTCGCGGCACAACTTGACACGTTAGGAAGCTCGAAAAAAAATTACCGAATTGTACGCGTCATTAGTTGCAAATCAGCTTGTGTTAATTCGCAAAGATAATAGAAAAAATTAAGTACGCGCTACGCTTTAACCGAGTAGTAATCGAGTATTATTATTATAGATCAGATATCTTAGAATGCTAACATAACCGACCAAAAAGCTTTAATACTCATTTTATGCAGTGCCGTATTCCAAATATTGACAATCACTAAGAGAGCGTATTTTTTGTTCGCAAAGAAAGAAAAGAGAAAATAAAAGAGAAAGCATGTACATACTCTGTGTTTGTTAGATCACATGAATAATAAAGCACGATATTGACATTTTGAAATCTTGAAATTTAAAATCATTTTTATATCTCTATATTTCAACCGTTGTTTAGCATAAACTTAATTAGTGGAAATATAATATGTAAAAATATAATAACTGCAAACCAAAGCACTTCTCTAGACTTTGTTGAAAACTCACATTTACGTAAAAAACGTTCCTACCTATCCAAGTGGCACCGCGTCCAGCGCACTACTAAAGTCACAGAAGCAAATTCTAATCATTTAATTCCGCGGTGTCAAAAAGCCTGACACATTTAAGATAAAAAACGATTAGATATATACATGATTACACATAAACGCAAATACATTTTATCACTTCTGCAAATTGGAAGAATCTACATGTTGGTTCTCACTTTTACCGGCAAATTGCTAAATCAGCCAAAATTTGTTTGTCGCAATAACAAGTGTCATTTCTGTTCACATATTTATACTCGACAAAAAACTTCGTTAAGAGGTTAGCATCTAGCAAAGGTAACTTGCTTATTAATTATATAAAAATCACCATTAGAGTGTTTGTGTAAACGTTTTCTTCAACTGTTCAAGGATATGACAGTTCTCATTAAATTCTTTTGTTTGTTTTTGACCGTTTTCTTTATTTCTATAGATTTTGCATCTACTTTAACGTATGAACTTTAATGAAACATGAGTGCAAATTAGCTTGAAGCTGGCTATACAATTGAAGGCAAACCTAGACGCGTGGAAATTAGAAATTAACCTGGAATAGGTCTATCTTCGAAGCTTTACCCTGAACTAATGCGAAAGCGTTCCCAGGACAGCTCCCAAACAAACTTACTGACCTGAAGCAAAGTAAAAATCTTGTGTTACCTTTTATGGTATACGAAATGCACCTGTTAAGGGTATTATAGCTTTGGTGCAGCCAAAGTTACCTTGTTTGGTTGTTTTTTATATTTAATGATATACTATAAAAGATCTTCTACTTTTTCACATCTATTGCTTGGTCTCCGATTTTACAGTCACGAAAGGACATAACTTCTACTTGAAGTTTATTATAATAGCGGGTGATCCAAGTAGAGGTTCTTTTTTCAATAGCCTTTATTTTGACAGATGGCGCGAGGGTCGTGCCAAGCTGTCATATTATTTTTGTTCAGTTTTGTTTGGCATTTCATCATGAAAAGACTCACGGCTGAACAACGTTTACAAATCGTTCAACTTTATTACGAAAATTCACGTTCTGTAAAGAATGTGTTCCGTGCGCTTTGCTCAACTTAGGGTCAACATAATTGGCATACTAAGTGTACTATTTGCAACACCACCGCCCATCTTGAGATCCAGCATTGATAATTGGATAATATTCGACCGAATACACTACATCCTGCACGCTGTTTAGAAAATATACCGGTCATAGCTGAGAGTGTACACGAAGACCATATTGACGTATGGAACGACTTGGCGCATTTTACTCCGAGATCCTAAATTGAAAGCGTGCAAAATACAGTCTGTGCAAGAACTGAAGCCACTGGACCTTCCCAAATGACATTGCTTCGATCTATGAGGCGATGAGGCCCATTTCTGACTCAAGGGGTATTTAAACAAGTAAAATTGCCGCATTTGGGACGAAAAGCAACCTGAAGAGATTCAAGAGCTGCTATTTCATTCAGAAAAAACAACGGTTGGGTGAGGTTTATGGACCGGTAGATTCATCGGTCATATTTACGAAATATTCAAAAATGATGCCGGTGAGAACGTAATTGTCAATGAGGACCTCGGCGACATTTGGTTTCAACAAGACGGCTCCACTTCCCGCATCAATCAATGAATTTATTGAAAGAACATTTCGGTGAGCAGATTATTTCATGTTTTGGGAGACATTTCCGGAATGATGCTCTATAGAAAAATGTTTTACCATTTCGAATTTTTGGCATTATTTTCTTAAATTTGTATTTGAAATATAAAACAACAATAAATGCGAATATGTATATACATATAAACATAATTACATTTAAGTGCATTTAGTACGCGGGACAAACCATCGGTTTACCCTCCAGTGCATTTAGTATATTATTGGCAGCTGTCAGGGCCATTTCGGAGGTCGTCTGCATTGTTTGGGTACCCAAATGAGGAATGACAACTGTAAATATATGGAAAATATTTAAATAAATAATTAGGCTAATGGAGACTGTATTAAAGACTTTTACAAAGTATTTAGGATGGCTCTAGATTCTAGATTTCTTACTTGAACGCTTTAAATTTTATGCATAACGATTTCATTTAAAAATCTTAATAGTCTTACCACAATTTGGCAGCTTCATAAGGGGATCATCCGCAGGAAGTGGTTCTGGTGTCATTACATCCAAGCCTGCCGCAGCAATTTCACCACTTTTCAAAGCGTCAACGAGAGCTGATTGAACAACAATGCCTAAATTTCGAATGTAATATTTATAAATAATAAATAGGGTTACAAATGTAGGTTTAATATGCCTTAAACTCACCTCCTCTGCCCACATTCACGAATACACAATTCGGCTTCATTTGTTTAAAAGCGTCTGCATTGAATTTACCACGCGTCTCCACCGTCAATGGGCAAGTGACAACAATAAAATCACTTTCACGCAGTAGTTGCTCGAAAGGCACATGAATGGCGTCAAATGGATTTTCGTGCGTCGAACGTGTATGGTATAGGATTTTCGCTGCCTCCCAACCCTGCAAACGCTTCGCAATGGCTTGACCTATACCGCCAAAGCCGAAGAAGCCCACCACAGAGCCGCGCACCTCCTGGCCCATCAGCCAGTTTATGCGCTCCGTGCGCCAAAGAGAACTTGAAAGAGAAAATAAATTTTACTGATGTAACATTTCTTAAATGAATAATCAATTTGAGTTGGCAATGCCAGCATTAGTTGAATAAGCTTTGAAAGCTTCGCTCCCTGCTAAGTATTATCAGTGCTGTTAAATCAGCTGGTGGCTTGAGAAACATAAATATTTATCAAAATTACAACTTCGCAAATATTTGTATACACACTTCTCAATCTCTCGCCGTCCAGCTTGGAAAAGCCTGCCGGCAGATATCATCAATCCAACTGCCAAATCTGCAACTGAGTTTTTAACTATGCCTGGAGTGTGACCCAAAGGCATTTGACGGCGCTTAAATTCCGCTACATCGACGTAATCAATGCCCGACGACATGGTTGAAACCGCTTTCAATTGCTTGCCGGCGGCGTCAAGTATCTCGGCATTGAGCGGTTGGTAGTGGGCCCAGTAAACGGCATCCACTCCGGGTAATTTGCGTATTATTTCGGCACGCGACGGCGGTACACTTTCGCACACTATTGTTTCACATCCACGCTGTTGGAGAAGCTCCAAGGCTACTTTGGGTACCTCCGGATGGGAGACGAGAACTTTGTGAAGACGTCGCGTTGTGCTGGCCATTTTTATAAAAAAGTTTTTTGAACCTGTTTATATCTACCTTAGGAGATAGTTCAGACGACACTAGATTCACTCAACAGCGCTAAGCTTTTACATTGGTATATTCTAATTTAGTCAATTCAAACACATACATACTTTTACATACAAATATTTGCTACAGTGGCGGCCATAGAAAGGTGATAAATATTTAAGGCTTTAAGTTATTAGCTATCTATTGAGTGTTATATATCCTTATATATATTTATATATGGTATGTATTACATTATAAGTTGCAGAAACATATGTATATATATATATATAATAACAAGACTTTCAATTTTTTCCTTAGATACCTCCAACATGGTTCTTTATTTACTGTGAAAATGTGTTAAATTAGAGTAAGGGTTTCATAGAAGTTGGTAATTGGACAAATGGCGCCGCCCACCTTAAGGGGATATTTTATACCTCAGGAAATAATCGACTAATTTCAACGATATTTACTGCGTGACATTATTTTATAATTCGTATGTTACGTTGTGAAAATAGGCGACATCGTACAACAACCGCGCATAATACCATATATAAAACTTTTAAATTCCTATAAAATATACATAAAAACACCAATAAAGTAATAGAAATTAAACTTTGAGCAAATAGTGCCTCTAATTTATGCCGTCTCACATCCAAAAATAGCTGTAAACGGACCCTAGCTTTTTAAGTCCCCGGATACCGAACTTCAGGGCCTACAACTGAAAATCTGGGTAAAACTTTGAGGCACATCATTAAAACTGAGAGAGAACCTTTTTCTTACAATATAGGGTGCTCCATTTCCCTCCTTATTTGAAGAAAAAATCACAGAAAATTCAAATTTAATGGGAAATTTATTCTCATTCGAAAGAACATTCTTTGGCATTTTTTTTTTGAAGTTTATCTCTTTCAAATGTTGGTCGCGGCTAAGTCTCATATGGTCCATCCGTTGAGTCCAATTTGTAATGGCTCGTTCGAGCATTTCGACTGGTAACTATCAAATGACACGCGTGATATTTTGCTTCAAGGCCTGAATCGAAGCAGGATTGTGCGCATAGACTTCATACTTTACATATCTTCACAGAAAAAAGTCTAACGATGTGATATCGCACGATCTTGGTGGTCAATCGACCTTCACAAAACATGAAATTATAATATATTTTCTAAACTGCGTGCTGGATGTAGTCTATTCGGTCGAATTTATCCAATAATGCTAAGTCGCAAGATGGGTGGTGGTGTTGCAAATAGTACGCTCAGTAGGCCGATTATGTTCACCATTAGTTCAGCGAAGCGCACGAAACATATTCTTTTCAAATATGAATTTTCGTAATAAAGTTGAACGATTTGTAAACGTTGTTCAGGCGTAAGGCATGATAAAATGCCAAACAATACTGAACAAAAATAATATGACAGCTGGACACGACTCATACGTAATCTGTCAAAAAAAGGCTATTGAAAAATGCACCTCTACTTGGATCACCCGTTTGTTTACCCTTGAGTTTAAAATAGGGTAAAATCGGGTCAATACTTACATTAGCTTCCACATACCTGACACACAGATTTTCAAATTTCCAGTTGGCTTGTTTCCGTGTATACCGGTTAACATGTGAGATATCTCTTTGAAATAACAGAGTGTTATGCCTAAATCATTTTCGTTATTCTGGCGGTCGTTGTGACCAATATGGCTATAGCTTTTCAAGGGCCCATATACCAAATATTAGGATCCCTGTGCATATGGTTGATTTTTTACCGAACATATCGGTGTTCTGGTATTGAAATTCAGGGAGAATTTTGTGCTCAAAACGCGTAAAATCGGGTCAATACTTTCCTTAACTCCTTTATATCTAATATAAATATTTTCAAACTTTCGAATGACATTATACCGCATATATCGGTTAATATCTTAATGTAAGTTAAAAATAATACATTTCTAATAAAAGTGATCTAGCCTAAAATTACTGAAATCACGACAATATCTATCTTTGTCGCCATATAGCTAATACAAGGATTTTCAAACATCAGCAAAATGATTTCCCTAGCTACCGTTACCTTATGTAAGAAAACTGATAAGAATTATAAAAAAATTTTAAAGTTCCGGTTGGTTTTATACCGTATATATAGCTCAAAATGTAAGATATCTTAACAAAATTAAGTGATAAGATAACTTCTGGGGCAAAACTTCCCAGCCGCTGTCTTCCAAATAGTGTTTATCCGGTCTTTCAACTTATTGCCTAGTCGCAAATCCCGGGCGTTTTTCGGCAATCCCTTGCTTCCATTTAATGAGTTGTTGTTGGTAGTGTTTCGCATTTTGGTTTCACCCGGTTTTAGAAGCGCGTCTTACTGCCAAATTTCGTGAAGATATCTAGATTTTGATGGATCAGTTTGTATGACAGGTATATGATATAGTTGTTCGATTTGAACAATTTGTTCGGAGATTGTAGCGATGTATCTTCAAAAAACGATCTTCTATCAAACCGAAAGAATATAGTTATTTATCTAATATTATTTTTTTTATTCTTATCATATTAAAACTTCTTCTTCTCTTGTTTACTTTTATTGCAATTAGTTGATTAATATAAATTTGGAATTATGAGTTTTAACCAAGCAAGCGATCTGTTATGAAATTAGTATGCAGGTGAGAACATTGGTTCCCCAGCGAGTCCGCGCAAAACATTATGCGCTGCTATTGTACCCATATCGGTGCGGGTGCGGCGGGTGGCGGAACCCAAATGCGGGAGGAGCACTGAAAAAAGAGATGAAAGTTAAATAATTAGACAAACCCGACTACCGAATAACTACACATAAGAGCTATAATACATACATAAATATGCATAAAATTGCATACATATAGAATATTTATGTATTATATACTTGTCTTATTTAAGTAAAAATAGTTTTAAAACAATAACTCGATTACAATCATTAAGAAATTAAAGCCGAAACAAGGGAAAGGAATGTTAAGAGCATGTTTGTTAACATTTTGACCTTGTTCGATCAAAATCATCAAAAATTGTATACATCAAAGCGAGTGCAACTATGAGACCAAGTGAGAACACATGTGAACCGAAAATTCGAAAGCAATTGATAAGATTGTGACGAAGCAAAATAAAATAAGTTTGTCTGCCCAAAACAATTTGATGTTATCTGTCAACAAACAAAATTACAGGTAAATATGGTAGTTCTTATCGACGACTTCAGGTTTGTACGTTCCGATCTTAAAAATGGTATTTACCGCTATACTGCTTGTTTTTGTATTAGAAATGACGAATTTCAGACACATAGACACTTATAGAAATTCATTATAATAATGTCTTTACTTACCAACATTTGGCAGACTCAGGAGAGGATCATTCGATGGGAGTGGTTCTGGTGTCATTACATCCAGGCCGGCAGAGAATATCTGATTTGTTTTCAAGGCCTCATACAAATCTTGCTGATTTACAAGGCCTAAGAATATTTCATTTAATTAGCACACGAACGTTTGAGCACTACATCACACCATCTTACCCCCACGTGCAATATTCACCAGCACGGCGGTTTTCTTCATTTTAGCAAAAGCAGTGGCATTAAAAACACCAGCGGTCTCTTTAGTCAAGGGTGCAGCAATGATAACGAAATCACTTTGAGCAAGCATGGTGTCGAAATCTACTTTTTTGGCATTGTACTCCTTTTCGATTTCCTCAGACACGCGTCGACGTGTGGTGTATAGAACACTATCAATGTCAAAACCGGACAAACGTTTGGCGATCGCCTGTGCGATACCACCAAAACCATAGAAACCCACTACCGAGTCGCGCACATCCTGACCCAACATCCAGTTTAGAGTGAATTTCTCCCAATTGTTGCTGTAATATATTTGTAGAATAAGCATACAAATAAATTAGGCAAACATGTTTATAACCACACTTACGTCTCGATCTTTTGACGTCCTTCTTGGAAACGACGCGCTGCTGCCAACAACAAGCCAACAGCTACATCAGCAACGGCCTCATTAAGCACAACTGGGGTGTGGCCAAGCGGTATATTGCGTCGCTTAACCTCTGGCACATCCACAAAGTCAATGCCAGCAGACATGGTGGATATAGCTTTCAGTTGTGGACCGGCAGCATCCAATGCCTCTGCGTTGAGCTTCTCATGTCCGGCCCAAAGGTAGGCGTGCACACCCTTGGCTTTCTCCAAAATTTCCGAACGATTTGGTGGTAAGTTCTGACAGACGATTACCTCACAGTCGCGCGACAACAATTCGATTGCCTCTTGTGGTACTTGCGGGTGTGTGACAAGAATTCGGAATTTTTCATCTTCGCCGGACATTTTGCCTACGTTTTTAGAGTTTGAGTTGTCAGCCGTTGTTTTTGTTGTGAAGATGGAGGCGACGAGCAGTGCGATGAGCAAAGAAAGTTTAAAAATAGATAAATGTCGTATACGCATTTTGCGTTTGTAAAATTCAGAGTTGATTAAATTTTAAAAAAGAAAAATAGTTTTTCGAGGATTCTTAGCGCTAGCAAAACACATATGTTCTTTGTGTTCCTGCTTCTAGTTGCGAACTAAATCCAGTTTGTAAAACTTAAAAACATTAGCTTGTAAAACCGGCTTTCAAAAATGTAAGTCCTTACATCACTCACTTACAAATGGCTCTTTGCTCTTTCGCTATTGTTGTGCTACGGCGGTGGGAGACACAGCGCATAATTTTAGCGCCCAGTAAGCGGCTCTGCTGCCTGGCAAACATTGCTCTCTGTTAAGGTTCGTTTGAAAACTAACAGCTTTAGCTGATAACTCGCCGTGAACGCGTGTGAAACTGCGAGTATGTGAGCATTTGATCACTTGAAAAGTTTTCACTTCTCCATGAGCACACTTTCTTATCGAACTTTTAAAACTCCGCTCTTTATTAAGTTAATGCACAATAGTAAATCAATTTGCTGTTTACATCCGAATGTCTTAAAAGTATAAAAAAAAGTGAAGTCTGTTTTCAATTTATATGTCGTGTGAATTATTTGTATTAATAATGAGCTTAGAGGCAGAAGTTCATTTAGCAGAATTGCAAAATATGACTCTATATTCCCAATACATACGCGAACTAGTCAATCAATTTTTGAGATATTCTTCGATTCGATTCTCCCCAAGAAGCTGCTCATTTGTCGGAACCGTCGATATCGGACAACTACCAATACTACTACTGACCATAAAGCTGTCATACAATCTGAACGCTCAGAGTCAAGTGCTTATATGGAAAACTTTTTGATTTGATGAAATATCTTAAAGAAATTTGGCTATCTACTATCTCGGTATAAATTTTTTGGATCGAGTCACTATAGCATATAGCTGCGATATAAACTGATTCATTAAAATCATCTTTTGCTAAGACTATTTCACTTTGATGCAACGGAAGTTAACATTCTTTCTAGTTTTGCTAGAATTTTGTAATAAAATGATAACTTTCAAACAATAATTGACGAAATCGCTGCTAATTAGTGTGTAAATTATTTTTCTCCAATTTTATGTGAAATTGTTTCAGTAAGCTAAAAGGGAAGCACTGCCACACTGTAGTCTCTTGCTTTAACACTTTCGTACTCACCAATTTGTATTTATTTGCTCAAAATTTATATTTTTCAATTCAGCTGTGTTCTCAGCTAACTTTGCCGCCACACGTCCAGTGTTCTACTAATTTAGTACGCGAAAATGTCAGCAAGTTTATAATAAAAGCGCCTGAGATTTCACGAAAATAATTGCATGAGGGAGGGGATGGTGCTTATTAGCCACTTCAGATAACATGTCACTACGTGTGTTAATTTTTTGCAAGAGTAAATTGTTTGTACATATGTATTGTAAATAATTATGCTTTTTTTAATCGTGTGCTTTTTATTACTCTTGACAATCGGTTCATCAATTTGTTTGATAGGCCAACGTCAGTGTTAGAAATGACCAAGTTAAAAGTATATTACGTCATTAAAATATACAATTTATTAGTTAAGGAATAAGGCACACAAGTATAACTATAAATCACTTTTAGTTCGTATGAGTGTCGTGTAGGCACATACTATGCATGTATCAAATTCAATGTTAAAATAACGAAATGGAAATGAAACGGATGGAAAGAAAATTATTTTTGGGACACGTGATGACATTTAAATAAAATAATATTTATCATATATATTATAATAGATTAGAGCTTTATCATATTTTTGATCGATTTTTTTTCGTTTATATAAAATTTCGGCGCATTTTTAAAGATTTGCATAAGTGCCCACAATAAACTCATGTTAAATTCAATATTGAATTAAACTCCACTTAATTGTGTGCTTTTAAGTGTAGAGTAATCAGTTGTATTTCTTCATACCAATACACAAAAGCTTTCCCGCAATTGTAATGCATTTTAATTTTTTAATGCTGGCAACGCTTTTAGCTTTTTCTGCATATTAACTGTTAAACCAGCTTTCTGCAGTCACAAAACTTTTAACAGTAGCGCATTTATTAAACTTGCATGGCGTATAAACATTTTTTTTTTTTTATAAAGGAACAACAACTTGCTCTCTTTAAAACAACTCTATGATTTTTTCATAGAACTTTTTTCAAAAATTGTTTTACAAGCAAAATTTCGAGATACATTTATTTCCGTTAATTGATGCCACATGTCACTCAAACTCGTCAAAAGACGGGCAAAAACCTTTAGGTTTTTCAAAAATTTAAATCAAAGAATATCGCGAAAAAATTCAACATTCATTCTATAAGTTCTGGGCTGATTGCACTAAGATTTGACATTGCTCAGGAATACTAGAGCACATATTTTTATATTATATTATAATATATTATATACTTGTACAATATTACAAATATATAACCCTTTGTATTCGGCATAAGGTTTGGTAGAATAATATACCACAATAAAATCATTATATAAATTATATGGGAGCCGGGGTAATTCTCAGCCGAATTGGCCAACTTTGATATATTGAGATGATGTGGAAAACTTTAACCAGAGAATCGGAATTATTATATTAAGGATATGAGGTCTAGACCAACTCCATTCATATTCAGCACTTATTTAAATTCAAGAAAATAGCACATATTTTGACTAACCTAAACGCTTTGAAGTAATCTGGAAAGTTGGAAATCACTATACAGGGTATATTGGGGGCAGAGAAATGGCCTTAGCTGGTTGTTTTAACTTTAACATTGCCCAGGAATTCTTGAGGATATATTGTTAGACACTTTTATAAATAAATAACTCACACATTGTTAAAATAATGAAAATCATATATATACGTATATTTTCACATATTTTTGGCATTAAACTATATCCAATATTAAACGTTTAGTTACTTTTGCTAAGATAGACCGATATTTACGGTATAAAGTCAACCGGAAGTTTGAAAATCTTGTATTAGGTATATGGGGGCTAAGGGAAATATTGATTATATATTTAAAATTTTATTATAATAATATTATGTACCTAATTCGGTTAAAATTTTGACAACGGCTTCTATTATCGGCCTTCTCATATCATCTCATTTAATGTCTCTGATGCATTTATTTATTGAGTTTTCACACTTTTAGTAGTTTTTAACAAGAGAGATTTTATCCATACTAACCCGTCGGGGGAGATAACAAAAACATTTGTTCTGATCTAGCGTAGCAATGATCCGATTCTATCACCAATACCAACGTTCTCATAATGCCAAGAAATATGTGTCCAAGTTTCATCAAGTTATCTCCATATTTACTTAAGTTATTACTCTCACAGATAGACGGACGAACAGATTTACAGACAGACATCTAGATTTCAATTCATCTCATCCTCTTGATCATTTCTATATACATACATATATATAATTTTATATCTATCTCAACGAATCAATTTTGAATGCAACAAAAAATTAGTCATTTGACAACGATTTACTGTTATTCGAATAGCATGAAATATTAACATAATAACATGAATTTCTTAACACAAATTATTTTATTTGGATATTTTGACCTTCTTCACTTTTTGACTAATCCCGTGCTCTGTGTTTAATCGCTGATAAATTTTAACATTCGAGTGAACTACAACAAATATTCACTTAACATGAAAATCCCTCGGTCTCATTTCAAAGTTATCTGCGAAAAATTGTATAGTCATTTATAGTTATGTACCCTACAAGAACAGTGACAGACATCTGACCGGTAATATGAATATATTCAGCCACAGCTGAAAAAAATTTTTCAGCGCGCTGAACAAAGTTTCTAACATTTTCTTAAGAGCCTTGTGTAAAAACTGATGTAAGCAAACGCAGGTGTGTGATTTTGCATCTTCTTTTAACACACGAATATTCGGAATTGATTCACTATATATTTATACTGCTCACTCTCAAGCCTTTTCCTAAGTCATTGCTGATCATAAATCCATCAAAGCTAAAAAATGTCACTTATGACTAAAAAGCTATCATAGCTGCACATCTATCATAAGTAAAGAATTCTTTTCCGCAGTATATTATATAATTTTTATTTCTTTAATACATTTAAAACTTTTAATTAAAATTAGTTATAATAATATACATAAATATAGAAAGGAATTCAACAAAATATAGAATTAAATAATGAATTTCTGTCTCCACTCAATGTCTCTGCGTGAGACTTTCTTCAATTCATAATTATTTCAGAATTTAAAAATGTCTAAGTAAAAATGAAAATTTATTAATGATTTATATTTTTTTAAGCATATTTAACTTACGTTTATTATATTTGAAAAAGCCTCTCTTTCATAAAAATTTATATTTTTAACACAAAACTCAAAAGAGTTATTGCACAGAAGCATACAAAACTTTTGGCTTACGGCAAGGAATGACTGCTAGGTATTCTACAACTTCTCTAAACTCCTATGGATGTATGTATGCTGTATACACACGCGTATTTGCTAGTTGAAAAACAGTAAACATTGACAGTCATTTGACTGTTCATTTCACTGTCAGTAGTGACAGTACTAACTTCTTATTTCATTGTAACTTACTATTTCATTCTAACATATGTAAATTTATAGTAAGCATTATAAGTCGCAGGTGTCTCTTTTTAGCAAAAAGAGTGGGGGTCAGTTAAAAGGCAAACTGTACGTCACGACTGACATAAAGAATGTGAGTGTATTGGTGAACCCATCAGCAGTTTCTTTTAGGGTATGCCGTAAACGTATATGTATCCGAACTACAACGCCTATTTTCATATCTCACTTACCTCGAGTGTGTGCTAATAAAAGGTCCAAAAAGGTAAGTATAATCATGCGATTTCCTGCATTTGATAACAATTTGTTCTTTATCATACGTGAAGATAAAACATTGGAGAGATTATTATGAGCTAAAGTTCTTCTCTTTTTACATTAGAATATCTATCAAAAAGGTTATCCTTTGGCGGCACCGAAGTTATAATAAATTTCACAAATAAAATAAAAAATCTTTATCTTGTTGTTCATCGGTCAGTTCGTATGGCAGCGATACGCTATAGTGGTCCGATATCGGAGGTTTCGACAAATGAGCAGCTTCTTAGAACGAAAAGGACGCGATCAAAAATCGATATCGATATCTAAAAACTGAGGGAAAAATCTGCGTATATACAGACAGATAGAGATGGGCATGGCTAAATCGATTCAGCTCAGTTGATCATTTATATACCATATATATTTGGTAGCATTTCCGACGCTTTCTTCTGGGTGTTACGAACTTTGTAACAAATTTAATATAGCTTATAAAAATAGAAACAGCGGTCACCCATTCCTGAACGATAAGTATTATTTAAAAAAAAAAAATTGTGTAATTTTTAAGTAATAATGTAAGCAGCTAGATAAATCGTTATATCTGTAATGCTTCGATGCAGGATCAAAAATATTCGTTAAACCGAAAAAATTGTCATATTAAAGGATTCCTAACTATATTCACTTTAAAATGTTTGGTCAAAGAAATTATTAATTTCAAGTAGGTATAATTTTGTAGAAATTGACTAAATAGAAACTTATACTTTTTTATTGTAGCAGGCTAACCGGTTTGCTACAAATTTTGCCACCACGCTCAGAGCCTGGAATCGTGACAATTGGGGAATGAGGGCCTATTGAACATTTAAAATAATTTATTAGATGACGAGACGAGTTGAATTCGTGCTTATCTCCATTGGCATCTTGCCTTGCGTCGCAAGCGTTGGTCGACGACTCGCTCCTGTGCGACTGCAAGATTCTTTAGGCCTAATGTAGAACATAGGAGATTTGCTAAACTACTTGCCCTTAGCAAATTTCGTCTTGCCACAATCGTCGGGATTCTTACAAGACATTGTCCAATTGCCGTTCATGAGGTAATTCTAAAAATTTTAGCGGACCCAAGTTGTCAATACATACAGGCACTTTCTTCCCCATTGTTCAGCCTTTGCAAGACTGAGGTTGAAACATTTTGGCATTCTTACCTTCAGCGAACCAGAAGCTATAGCGAAAACTGACATTAACCGTCTCAACAAATTTGTGATAGGCTTAAAGCGCTTCGTCGATTTATGACAGTCTTATGATCTATTATATATAAGTTTTAAGTAGCACCACAGACCGGCATTCTCAGCTGTCCGAGTGAAATCTCTGTTATGATTCATGGCATAACCTAACGTAACCTGGTGACTATTTGTCTGTTCGTCTTTGCAAGCGATAACTTCAATATTAAGTTGATATTGTTAATGGGCGGAATCGGGTCACTGCTACGCTCAAAAATGTTCTTAAGTGAAAATGGAATAAATAGAAAAACCAATATCTTCATCGACTTTAGCTAATTTCTTGTGGAGAAGTATGCATTTCAGTCTGCAATAGAAATTACTTTCATCGTCATAAACACCGAATTAATTTACTTACATTTATTAACCTCCTATTTGATATTTATTCGTAATAAATTTATAATTAGTTGCAACATTACCTAGAAATAATAAATCAATCTTTTGTCTAGCCATTTGCCCAATTGAGCTCATATCCGTTAGCACAAAGCAATTTCCGTCAGCGAACTGCCATTTCCCTTAAATTCACAAATTTACAAACGAACAGCGAAAAGTTGGTGCTCGCATGAATACTACGATAGGCAGCACTACGACTAGGTGTAGCCCTCGTCCAACTCTGCCTACCAGTGCTGCTCTCCTAGTGCCATTTGAGCGCCATTGAGTAAAGCTGTACACAAAAAATCACGCTCCATCTGTGAAGATAACAAGCGTTTGAAATGTCTGCCGATATTTATAGAAAGCATCACTTTTGCTGCCGAATCTGCGACATGTGCTTCCAGAGAAAGCACAAAATGCACTAACATACCGAAAGCAAATAAGCTGCATACTGTTGAATCTGAAGATTTTCCGTAGTGCATCTTGGAAGAACTACACGACCTCCAATGCAAAAAGGCGAAATGCGAAATCAAGCAGACATCATAAGTCGTCCGCCCCAGCTTCTGTTAGCCGACACACAATTGTGTAATTCAACCTAAAGGGAAACATATTAGCATCTGTATGAGTCAGCTACCCAGCCAACCACATGACTACGTTTTGTTGGTACTCCCTCTTGTAAGCTTTGTTTACCGGGGTAGCGGCACAGTTTCCCAATTGGAAGCGAAATGCTTGTACCGGCGAAGCATACAAAGCCATAACATCTCCTACTTGGATCCCGATGTTGCTAAGCTCGTTCCCCACTAAGGCCGCGTGGGCGTATACCGGCCACATGGGAAATCCCCAACTGGTATTTTCAATAGGCAATCAGCCGGCATCGCAAGCAAAGCAAGCCACCAGCGTCAATCACAACAAAAGGGGCCGGGACCTAAACGTCGTCCGTGTGGAGAAATACAATAACAATGTGCCGCCAGCGAATGCAATGGCATGAATGAATGAATGTCGGTGGAGTGGAAGACCAACAAAAACATATTGAAAAAAATGCTTTCGAAGCGAAACAGAAAAAATCCTAAAATTGTATGCGCAAACAATGTGAAAGATGGCGGTAAACAGAGAGCAAAGTGAAGTGAGAACTCCAGCCAACAGCCAAGTGTCGGTTGCTGCTAGCGTTTGTGGTTGCGCTGTGGCGCTGTGGCGCAGGGGAAGCAATGGCTGTTGACGCAGGGGAGCAACCCAAAAGTGCATGAAGGCCGCATATAGGAATGGAATGAGGGAATGAAAACGAGCATAAGTATATGATTCTGCATGGAAATAAACACATATGTAGAAATATACGAAAGGCTGTTTTATCTGGAAAGAGGTGTGAGGAGGCACGAACTGCGGGTGCTTGAGTGGTTCTTGGTCTTCATGCTGGAACTGCAATTTTAGAATTAATGGACTTTTGAACTGAAAAGTATGGTTATTCATATTAGAATTATAGTGGAAATGACTTGAAATGGAAATATGATCGCTAAATTTTCACGAGGGGCCGAGACGCAGCTAAAGCTCATTGACAACCTGTCATATGGGAACTCGGTCATCATGTGACATACCGTGGTGTTACCGGTTGTTGTTGTTGCTGTTCTTGTAGCGATTACCTAATCCCCAATTAGGTAGTATGGTTCAGGTTTTCATCGAGGTCGGACCATAGGAAGAGGAGTGTTAGATGAGTGCATGCAAAGAGGTGGTTAGAAATATGCGGGTACTCGTTGCACGCAGGACAGAGTATGTTTGATATGTCGGGCTCTGTTATGGATAAGTAGGAGTTTAATCAGCTACAATATCCAGAGCGAAGTTGCGCAAGGATTATTCTACATTCTCGAGGCAGTTCGAGCTCTTCGCCTGCAATGGGTGGTGGTTTAACTCCAAGTACGCCATTCTGCCTCCCAGTGAAGGTGTTAATGGCTCCACTGTAAATGGCGGTCAGTGCGTTTCTGAGGTTTGCTGCGTGCGTTGTCTGGTCGGAGTACTGTTCAATGTCGTCGACATAATCAAGAAAATACCTCTTGACGTTCTTAGGAGGCGGCTCCGCTTCAAGCAGTCGACTGCAGGTATGGTTTCTGTGAAAGCATCTCAGAAAGAAATATATAGTACATTTTACTTTCTAAGTACCACCCTAATATAATTATATATATTTTCGAACTAAGCTATTTGTTAGAGGCTTTATCAAGACTCTCTCCGTATGTATTTATTTTTGAGGTGTGGCTTTATTTTGCTTGATAAATGTAGAATATACTCGAAAGTTTGTCAACGAACATCGAAATGCGATAGCTACTGGATTTTTTTTTTATAAAACTGGTGTACCTTTTTTTTCAATTGAAATCATATTTCGGAAGAATAATCATTAAGTTTCGAACGTTGGCAAAAGTACGTCTTCTTGACTATCGTTGCATTTTGTTGCAGAAGTGAAGTAAGGAGCAAATATGGGCGCTCTTTTCAGACCGCAGCAAAGGCGCAACAGGAAACGAACTCCATGCACATACACATATATACATACATACACTCTTTTAATATTTACATAAATGAACATAGCTTCCACTGCATTGAAATATACAAATATGCCTACATGCAGTCACACATTTTTTTCACCGAGAGCGAATGCCAAAGCAAGACAAATAACTGCAATGGCAACGCAAAGCAACAACTTGCATGGAGCTGATGAAGTTGTAACGGAGTGTATTGGAGCTATTACTGCGACACTTGGGGTGTAGCCCTACGTCCCACCAATGCCGGACGCCGCTTTTTCTCTGTTTTACAACGCGGCGACAATGAAAAATTAGAAACACCACTCTTTACACAACTACACAAACAATTTCATTTTGGTGGCGTCGCGCCGTCGACAAACGACAAACGCACTAACGCAGCCATGGTTGTGCCGTGCGCCACCATTTGCGACCACCGCTGCGTCCGCAAGCGCGCTTCTACTTGCGGCGCTGGGGCGCTTTGTCGTCGCATTACCATTCGGTTTCTGGAACAATATGTTGCCCTGTTACCAAAATACGATGCGTCATTTTGACTGACGTAACCCGGACAGCTGTCAATCGTCGGTACAATCGTTGGCAATTCGTTGGCTACACTACCGTTGCAGCTCCGTTGCTCGTTTGACTAGCTGGTTAACAGGTTGGTAATTTGGTTGAACCATTCGGTGGCTGATTGGTGGCTTGCTGGTTAAATACACAACCTAAGTTGTGGCTTATAGCTAAGTACATCCAGCACGAATCAGTGAACTAGTGACGCAGCGCGCGACAGTTTAATGGAGGCGCAAAGTAGTTGGCGCGTTCACTGACACCACAGACGCTTCAACGCGTTTGAAGTGTGAAAATTAGGTAGCCACTGAATTTTCACCAAATTTATAAGCATGATAGAGTGACTTCTCATTGTGGCTCTGTCAAAAGTAACGGCAACATAATTGACTGACACACCTAAACGCGCCACCAGCGCAGCACGCGTGACTTCATTGTACAATATATAATTTATATTTAACAAAGGGGTTCATTAATTATTTTGTTTGCATTTTACAAGCCAAATTTGTTGGTTTGCATCGTCAGTGTACCGCGCTAAGTAAAATTGTAAGCGTTGCGGCCGTGCCGCGCAAAGAAGCGCTCGGCCACGCGACGCAACGCAACGCTTTAAAACGAAAGCGACTGTCATGGCGTCATTGTCATCGGTGCGGTTATAATAGCAAGCACGCAGAAATAAATAGAAGCATAGCGCTACATCGTTGCCACCACAAAAATGAAATAATCAAGTGCTTCAACTTCCACAAGCGGAGCTACAAATACATAAACATACACACATAGTCTCTTACGCTTTAACATACCTATGTACATACATATATAGATAGCAAAACATAGGAGATAGACATAATGCAAGACGGGGCATTGGAGCTCATTTTAGAGTGAAACATTAAAAGCGCTGCAAATTAGCGAACGAACGCAACTCAGCGGCACAGTGAGTCCATTTTATAATTGTTAGTAGACAATTACAAAAGGAATAAGGCTTTATTTTCGGATATGACGGTTCTTAGATTTTTTTTATGCATACTCTTTTTAAACACGTTAGGACAAAGATAATAAAGATCAATTAAAACGTTCATACGTGGTAAAACTGTGCTGGGTGGCCAATTGTGTATATGATATAGATTTACTCTTACTACTTACTTAAGATTACCTAATATAGACTGATTTATGTTTTGCTTTTTTGGAGGGCGAGTTATTCGCAAGAGATCAAATTAAAGAGAGGTCAAAATATATTTCAAAAACATTGTCATGTCTGTGTACGCTTCAGATCAGCTGATCGTTTATATATAATATATACTTTATAGGGACACTGGCGTTTCCTTTTGAGTTTCAAAAATATTGTAGCAATTTAATATACCCTGTTCAGGGTTTAAAAATCACTTCTAAGATAGCAGCTTTCTTCACATAGCATCCAGAGGTAAGAAGTAAGTTATTGAATCAAGATAAGGCTTAACTTCCAAAAAAAGAACCCAATAGTCCAAATTGGTAAAAGCTTTATGGAATCTAAACTATAATTTTATGTAATACGTAATATATTTTATACTTCATTACGAAAATAAAATGGTCAGGTCTCTACTATATATATATACATATGTATGCATTGTCAGCATGACTGTTTGACATAGTGACCAGTAATCGTATTCAAGATATATATCTTAAAGGTACATACAATTTCATTTTTAAACAATCACATCACACTGTCCATAAATGCTTCTCTTCCATTGAGATTATCGCGAGCGCTTGAAAATTGGGGAAGCCAAAGATGTGTGGAGTACGCAAAAAAGTGTTTCCATATACTCGTACAAACATCTGTCGGTGTTGGAGAAAGTGAGTGAAACAAACACAAAACAGAATAACCTCGAAAAACAAAAAATACGACAGCTGCTTCATAAGCGGAGAAAGCATGCACTAGCGTTTGGAGCTCTCAAACCAAAATACGAGAAACTAAAGAAGGCAAAAGTTGAGCTCTCAGCTGTGTAGTCTCCAATACTACATTTGTTCGTGTGTGAATGTGTTTGAAATAGCTGTAGGATCCCGCTCAGTTACCACTTAGGAGAAAGACACCATAGCCGTGCGCTGAAACTGAAATGCAACAATTGCATACAAACAAACAAAGGTCAAGCTAAACAATACAAGGCATGTATGCTCGCCGACGCCTCGCTCGAAACCATATATGAAACAGAAGTGTGCTCCTCTTCAGCTATTGTAAGCACACAGCAACTGTACTGTAGACGACGTAGGTATCGCAAAGGTAACCTAAAAGTGCCCCTAGATAATCTAGCAACATTGAGGCAGGTCCCTCTACACGAAATATTCGATTAGGCGCCCAAACGGCTGCAACAAGCCGCCGCCGCCAGTTTCTCATTGCATTTGGCTGAAGAGCGAAAGCGAACCGACGGCACCAACGTAGAGGTACACATCGGCGCGCATTGATAGGAACCCGCATGGTAATATGAAAAACCATGCAGCCAACACAAACAATATGTTGACTAAGTAAAATGCAGAAACGGAGAAAGACTAACAAGAGCGTTTCACATGAGTGTGAAGTCAAATGCGAACAAACTCGTGCAGAGCAACCGCAATAACGAAGGTAGAAAGGTAGCGGAGGCAGAAAATGAGACACATTGGAGCAGCTGGTATGCTCACGGTACATGTGTTTATAATACAACTCTCCCCACTCTCGCATCTGTGCCATATGAGAGCAAGATAACATTTACATTTCGCTCGTAGGAGAAACAGCCCCACTTAACAGTGGAGACAAAAACAACAGTAACAGAGGTGTTTGTTGTTGAGCAAAGGAGAGTAGAAAACTGTACAAAGTTTCATTTGGCTTGCACAACCCTGTCCGATTTGCACAAACCAAATATTTCAAAAATCTAGTCAAAATGTCATTTTATATCAAACGAGGGAATTTACATTTAGACAGGTACAACAATTTTCAAACTTAATTGCCATTTAATACCCTAAATAAAATGTTACATAACAATTAGGGACCAAGAATTTCATTGTTTTCGAATACTTACGAACCCACGCTGAATAATTAAAAGATGCGTTTCAACAATAGTTCAAAAATAATTAAGAAATAAAGTATCATTATTAATATTATTAGATTTCAGAATTTTTTATATATATAATAAGTAAGGAAGTTTAAAAATCATATATTAGAGGGAAAAAAGGTCGATCCTTTTAGTGTTATTGACCTGATTTTGTCTATTTTTGGGATTACTACGTGATATTAACATAAAAGATGCTAACCGAGTTATATTAGTTATATCGGAGCTAGGGCAAGCACCTGATTTTATACACAGATTTATCAATTTCATTAAGGTAACTCAGATATTTTCCGATATGCATATGTATACGGTATAAAGCCAACCGGAAGTTTGAAAATCTAATATTAGGTATATATTATATATAGGGAGATAGTATGGGGGTAGTATGGACTCGATGTTATTTTTACATATTATTAATAGAAAACGAT